AATAAATTTCATATAAAATAAAAATAAAAAAAGACTCGAAGTTGAGCCATTATTAGACAAATAATAGTAAAAAATTTTATCTATTTATACTGTATTGTTATCATAATTTTATACTGTTTCGGATATTATCCAAATGCAACATGTCTACTTAAAAAAATTATTATTTCGTTTAATCTTGATTTGCAATGATAAGACATTAAAAACTTGTAAATTACTAGTACCCAAGAATGAATTAAAAAAAGATCAAAATATACTTATCTTGAAACAAGTTTACCCTTGTAATCTCCCCCAAAAAATGAATTAATTTTAATTTTTTTTTCTAAAAGAAACAGAATTACTGATATCGACGCTTTATCATGAGTGCTAGCTTCCCTAAAGAAGAGCAATTACTAATATCATCAAATTTTATTTATAAATAACTTCCCAAAGAAACGAATTACTGATATTGATGATTTATTCTTTGAAAAAAAATATATATATATTAATTAATAGCACATAAAAAAAAAAAGATTAAAAGATTAAATAAAAAAAAAAGATTAGACGAAAAAAAAAAAAAAAAAGCAATCTTAAATCTTATAAAATAATCGCTTTTTCTTTCTTCTCACCTCCAATTTATCTAAAAAAAAGTAAAATAAAACAATGCCTGCAAAGTTATCAACAATCTGTTATGTACATACATGCACTGATCGATTGACCCAAGAATTCACAGTAAAAGAAATTACTTGTATCGTAAGACTAAGTAACGATGACCCCACAAAAATCATGTACTTAAAAGTAAAAGCCTTCGTCCCCTTGAACGAAACCAGCAACCATTACATTGAATCCTTTGGACCTGGTGATGTTATATTTTTAAAAGGAAAATTCGTAGGAAGTGAAAATTTTTACATAGTATAATATATCTTTTTTTTTTTTTTTTTTTTTTTTCCTCCAGTAAATCAACCCTACTTTTTAAATCTTATACTAAGGTCATCGCAACTTCTATCAAAGTCATAAACTTTGAATTTGATGATATGCCTGTATTAGGTATAAACTCAGTCATCGTTGGTATCACCAACCAGATGATCAAAAACATCGAAAATGACTTAATTCTTGAGTTCTACATCGGGAAAAAGTCAGAGACCGCGAACCACCTAGCTTCTGGGTTGAAGCTAGGCATAATATCAACAATAAATATCTCTCCAATAAAACAAACGCAATAAACCAAAATTCCCATTCAACCACCGCAATCCTTATTGGTACTATTACCTACAAATATCTACAGGAAAGCATGTAATCATCTTGGAAGACATTTCCTTAATCACCTCAAATCACAATGATTCATCCGCCCAATCAATTACTCTGCCATGGCTATCCCAATCAAGTATCCCAGGCTATGCAAGAGCGAATCGTCAGCCACAGGGTGCTGCTCCGAAGACTCCAAAAAAAGGATGCAATACCTTGTCTAATATGAATCCAACGTTTGTCTCTCAAACCCTCTTCACAGCTTTAGAAACCAACCCCATTCCAAACATGTCTACTTAACAAACACCTCAAACACCTCAAACTTCTCAAACTTCTCAAAATCCTGGAGGCGAAGGCTCACAAAACTAAGTTTATAA